AGTTGTTCTTCCGCATTATCTGCTAGAGGTCCATGGTCTCTGCCATTCTTCCAACCTTCCCGTAGAGATCGATCATGGCACTGTATGTAACTCTGTCAAAAGAAACCCCAGTGTCACAAAGCCGGTGGAACCAGGCCATGGCATCCTCAGCTCAACCACAACACTTGGAACAGCTTGGTTGTCCAGCATGATCTTTTCCTCGAGCATATCCTTGAAAAGTTCTTCCAACAAACTCCACTGTTCTCCGATCGCATAGTAGCTTGAGCATCATGTTGTATGCAAAGACAGTGATCTCAAAAATCTCTATGATCTCTAATAATCTCATCTAGCCCCTATTAAACCCTTGTTTTTAATAAAGAACTTTACCACTGTGTTGTCCACACTTTGTCTTTTATCTCTGTAGCAAAATAAATTAGTCCACCAAATCTTCTCCTCCTTTCTAACTCTCAATTAAAAATGTTATTTTACATTAGTGGAAAATGTCAAACATGAACATGATAGCTCTGTCCAAAACTACCACTATTAACTACGCACTCGGAGGGAAACATAAAATCTATTCTAGTACTTTCGACAGTTAACAGTGTAAATTTTTGACCTATGGCTATTACAAATGGACAGCGATCTATGCTTGCAATTGCGAGCCGCTTTGCTGCGCCGTCAAATCCCCCTCGAGCCAGTCCAGGCTCAAATCTCTTCCCAGCAGCATCACTCCATCTTTGATCGCTCGCGGCTCGACTATCTCACCAGAATTCTGGAAGAAAACGATGAGGAGCTCCTCCTCCAGCTGCCACAACAACAGCAAACCTCTTACCAGGTACTGCTCCGCGAGCTCACGGAATGCCTCTCCCCCAATAGCAGTTCCTCGTCCATGGACACCGCCTCTCCTCCTCATTCTCCCTCGCGCACCTCCACCGTCTCCTTCCACAGCTTGCTCATGGACTGCGCCCAAGCCGTGGCTGCCAAGAATTCCACCGACGTCCATGAGCTCGTGAGAGAGATCAGAACTTTAGCCTCACCTCAGTCGCGTCCGGTGGAGAAGGCCGCGCTCTACTTCACCAACGCGCTCGTCGCGAGGCTGGCCGGGTGTGGAGCTCGGATGTACGCCGCGATGCACCAGGACGTGACGAGGATGCAGAGTATCTCCATCCGGATGAATCTTCCCAGCCTCCGGGCCACGGAGCGCTTCGCCAACCAGATGATCCTCGATGCCTGCCGTGGTGCCAAGCGTGTCCACATCGTCGACTATGGGATCCTCTACGGCGACCAGTGGCCGTCGCTCATCAAGGCGCTGTCCGAGAGAGCCGAGGGGCCGCCACTGTTCAAGATCACAGGCATTGACTTCCCGTCCCTTGTCAGCCTCGAGAAAACTGGAAACCGGCTGGTTGACTACGCAAAGTCGTGTGGGATGCACCTCGAGTTCCACTCCATCGCCACCGCGGCGTGGGAGTCAGCGCAGCCGAGATACCATCTCTTCAGCGAGCTTCTCTTCGTCAACTGCCAGCTGAGGATGCGGCACATCCGCGAGGACGGGAACATCGACAGCCCCCGGAAGCTCTTCTTCGAGAAGATCCTCAGCTTCAAGCCTGTTATGTTTTTCCAGTCCGTGGTGCACGCTGAGATGGGCTCTCCATTTTTCATCCACCGCTTCGACGGGGCCTGGAGGAGCTTTCTGGCGAGGCTGGAGTCGTTCGAGGAGACGATGAAGCTTGGGTTGATCGACCAGTCGCAGCTCGACTTCATGGATAAGTTCATCGAGAAGTGCGCCATGGGAGCCATTGCCTGTGACGGGCAGGACCGTGTGGAGCGCATCTCCTCGTACAAAACCTGGGATCGCCTGGCTCGGAAAGGCCAGTTCGGACAGCTTCCAGTCAGCAAACGAGCGCTCGAGATGGTCATGTCCGTTTGGAGCGGACACGAGAACTTCACGTACGGAATGGACGAGAACTGGCTGCTGCTTGGCTGGAAAGACGTAGTCTTGAATGCTTTGAGCGTCTGGGAGCCCATTGAGAAGCTACCGCGCTTCAAACACCAGTGATCCACCCTGTACCTACATTCTTTCTGTAAATTCTTTGTTCCTGATCGTGTAAGGAGACGATTTGAATGTCTTCAAAGAACACTCAAGAGGAACTTACCTTGTCACGGAAGTTCTCAAGTCCATCGCTATAGAACCTGAAACATACCAGCCACTTGTAGGACACGCTTTGGTCGCCAAGCACTCATCGCGTAGAGCACTGTGTCCTTCCACCCCAGCAACATCCAGTTTCCATCTCTTGCGAAGCCGAAGTCCGGGTTCCTGAATTTTCCACAAGCGCTCCTCACTTTATCGTAAATCTCCTCCGCCACTGCCACCCCTTCGAAGCCTGCTCGCTTTGCCCGAGCATCCCAGACGCGATACGAGGCCGCTCTCTCCACTCGATCGAGCCCTTCGCACGCGACGATGTTCATGATATCTCTTGCGGCCACCTTTTGGATAAATCCGTGCTCTTCCGGCTTTCCTTCTGCCACCGCTTCAAAGTACTCCATCTTCTGCTTGTAAAACTCGAGGGCGTTCTTGAACCGCTGCAAGAACAAGGGCGAGCTCATATCGGCACTGATCTCGGCTTGCAAGAACAAGTCCGGCCTGAGCCCGCAAATCTTCCCGAGGAAAACTTCTCTGGGATTGTCCACCGCAACCGTGCCATGATCTCGCAAGTGGCGCAGCCGGAGCACGCTATTCACCACCAGCACCTCGTTCTTACACCGGATAATCCTCTCCTTTTCCCAGTTCTCGCTCGCCACTGCCATGAACTCGAACGGAACTCCACACGATCCCGCAAACTCGACCAGCTTCCTCCCAGTCTCGGCCAAGTTGACGACGTGAGGACAATCCACCCCGGTGATCTTGAGCTCGGGAGGACCGCCGCTACGCTGGGACAAAGCCTTGATCAGATACGGCCACTGGAAACCATACTGGATGCCATAGTCGACGATATGGACGCGACGAGCTCCTCTAGCCAGCTCCAGTATGTGCTCGTTGGCGAATCTTTGCGAGAGCTTCAAGCACGGGAGATTCAAGAGCCTCACGGACAAGTACTGGCGGCGAGTGACCTCCTTTGCCATGGCGGCGTACACCTGAGCCCCAAAGCCCTCCAATCGGGCAGTCAGTGCGTCGACGAAGAATGAGATCGTCCGATACAAGCATCCCCCCGACGATCGCCACAGCGCGCCCTTGATGTCACTGACCAGCGCGAAAGCCCGTGAGGAATCCCCCGCCGCCACCGCCTGGGCGCAGCGGACGAGCAGATATTCCAAACCGCCATCGCTGTCGCTGTTCTTGGGAGAATCAAGAGGCCGCGGCGCAACGATCGCTGTGAGCTCGCTTAGAATCTGGCAGTACTTACCGGACCGCGCGAGCTGATCGTGATCCTCGTCGTCGCCGTCGTCGTCCAGCAGCACGCTCGAAATGTAAGACACTGTCGGATCCATGAAACCCTTGCGCGCCTCGTCCTCCAGCGGCGGATCTTGCCGCAAGCCGTGGCGAAGCAGCGCGCACTTGAGCATCGATGAGAGATCGATCGACGCCATCATCCTGGACTCGCGGAACTTTGAATTTTAGGGTTCTTGGAGAGAGAGTGTTCAAATGGAAGACTACCGATTAAACGCCGTGCAGTCTCTCCTCACATCGCCATCGCTCCCAACCTTCACTCCAACGCTCGACAGCCTTTGCATCGCGGCGCCAAATTCCTGGTAGAACTTTTGCTCGTCTCTCGCGAATTCCCTGATCATCTCCCTCGTCTTGCGCTTGGCGAGGAGCGTCTCGTCCGAGATGAGCAGCGCGTTTCCAGCGACGAGGGTCTTGTAGTAGGAGTTGTCGAAGGCGAATGGAGTGGAGGGATCGAAGGGCAGCACCAAGCCTGGATCATCGCCACGCTCGGGACAGGCGGCCTTGAGGCTCGACGCGAAAACCGGAGGGAGTCTCGGATCCATTGCGCGATCGCGGCTAAAGTTGTAGAGCCTCTTGTGGAATTGCTTGCAGTGAGCGAATCCAAAAGTGTGAGCACCTAGGGAGGAATCCATGAAACTTTTCGAGCTTTTAGATGAAAAGCTTTGAGAGCTTACCACTCAGTACCACGAGATCTTCCATGTCCAGTCCTTTGCTCTTGAAGTTGCGTAAAAGTTGATGGAGATTCAAGGTGGAGCCTGGAAGGTTGTCCTGGACCCTCGCGGCCTCGGAGATAAATCCATCTTTTCTTCCCTTGAGAACAGGATACGAAGGCCCACCAGTCTGTCAATCAAAAAGACCTTTTGATCAACCTGGAAGCTAGAATTGCATGAGAACTATTGAAACTTATCTTACCAGCTCTATGAAGTTTCTCGCTATGATCACCAAGATGTCAGCACAAGACACCACTCCCGGGCACTCGGCTTCCACCGCCGCCTTTGCTCGAACCACGGCATCAAAACCATCACCAGCCAAGTCCCTGTTAACTTCCGCGTCTCTTTCAGCCAAGTTGTCCGGAGTAGAAGTTATCATGATCGAGGCATCGCATCCCTGCACCATGCAAACAAGATCATCACAAGATCGAAAAAAACACAAGCAGAGAAACGAGAAAATCGGACTTACCTCAATGAAGCAGTCGTGGAACAAGAGCCTCACAACAGCCGCAGGAGTCGTGGGTGCTTCGGCCAGCTTAAGTTTAGCAGAGGTTGCGAGGATCTCTTCCAAATTTGGACAAGTCTCGGAGTAATAGCCGAGCTCGAGTTTATCTGCTGCTGCACTAAAAACCGCCAACGAAGCCTTCAACAAGGAAACCATTACCAAAATCTCACGCACTGGCGCCATAGCGCAGCGCAGCTCGTGAGCAAACCTTGGACGAGCTGGGCCTTTTGCGCACCATTTCTAAACGAAATAAAAATAAACAGGCTCGTTAGCTGGAGCTAGCCCAAACCAAAGGAGAAAAATCACTATACTATACTTAGAAGCGAACCAGTTTTGAGTGGACTAAAATGACGATGCATTCTTCCAGAATATACAGTTTCATTTCTGTTGGAGAAGAACGGAAAAAAAAAAGAAAAAAGAGAAAGGTAAACAAAAAAAAACAAAAACGGAGGATCAGGAGGATCGAGAAATAAGAACCAACAAACATTAAGGGAACAAAGCTTAAAAAAAAGTATGGAAACTGAAGAACCTTCTTGTCGTAGAGAGTGCCTCACTGAAAGAATTTGACTCCTACTGTTTTTCTTTCTTTCACTGACGAAGAACTGATGTCCTGTACCGGTTCGGGAAATACTGCTCTTGCCTGTTTCGATCGACCATCTTCCGCTTCTACACCCGGGCCCTCTTGCTGCAAGACGGGCATTTGTACTGCTTGATGTGTTCCGCTCTGGCCGGTGTAACCTTGACACAGCTCCCATGAAACCACTTTTGGCACGTATCGCATCCTATCCAGAACTCCTTCTTGTCCGCGTTGTAGGGGCCATTGCAGGTCCCGCAGAAGGTGTCACCGTGCTCCTCCTCGTCTTCGTCGTAAGGAGAGTCTTCGTCCTCCTCGTCGCTCGATGGGGGCTTCTTCTGCGGACGCAGTGACACCATTAGCAAGCACGCAGAGAACCAAGTTCGCCTTACAGATTTCGCACTAGAAGCCCTTTTGGAGCTGCTGTTGCCGTTTGTTTTCTCCTGCGCTTGCTTCTTCCCGGTGACCGTATCGTAGATGGTTGGAAGCGAGTTCATCAAGCTAAACAAGCGCTTCCTGTGTGCCACACGCGAAAAAGAGAAAGAACAAAAGAGAACACACATCAGGGAATGGGAAAGATAAAAGAAAATAGGAGAGTCACCTGTCTGCCCTGTCAAAATGGGCACCATAGAAAAAAGCCACTGCAATTAACCACGCGTCGCTGTGGACTGCTACTAGCGACAGCCATGCCTTGCGCTCCATCCCATCTCTCGCAAAGTTGATGCCGAGCGCCGGCTCCGGGAGCTCCGGAGGAACTTCTTCCGCTGGGAAATTCACCTCCCAGCTCTCGTCGGGAAATCCATACAGGCACAGGTTTTCCTTGTCTGCACACACAAAAAACACCCACGCACGAACGGCGGCAGGCAGAGTTTAATCACTCTATCCGAGAGAAAAAAAGAGAAAAAAATTCAAGGCCCTGAGAACTAAATGAGCGCACCTGGATCGCATTCATTGCAGAATTGCTCCACATCTGGGCAGCCCAAAACAAACGCAAGGCAAGAGAAAAATCTCTCATCAGTACCGGTCGGGCAAAAAAAGAGTGGGAGAATTCCACGATTGAGTGGAATTGGAGGAGCTCACCTTCTGTCAGCGCTTTCACCATTCCAGCTCTCCGCTTCTTGAAATCGGTGAAAATCTCCTCCACAGTGCGTGGGTTGTATGGAGCAGCATTTTCCATGGCGGAATTCGTCCAAGAGCGAGCCCAAGAATCGCGCAGCGCAGCTCCTACACCCAAACCCTAGTCACTAAAACCCTGGCAGCCGCGGCCAAGAAGGAGCGCGCATCGCCGCCGAGGAAAAGGCCAATCCGTGGAGAGCGCCGAGAGGGATTTACCGTGGGGCGGGAGCTGAGAGAGAGGCGGCGGTGGAGCGGCCGCGGCGCAGCAACACAGATCTCGCGCACCCAACGCCCAACCAGCGACGAACCAAACCCTAGCGAGACAAAAGAAACCAACAAGATCCCTCTTTGACTGTTAGCATATGCTGATTCTGTTAAGTGCGGAGGCGAATATTCGTCACGGTAGAAAAAAGTATGAAGCCGTTGACGTCCCCGAGAAAGAAAAAAGAAAACCATGGAACTGAATGTTCTCAAACTTTTTTTCCTTTTCTTCGATCATAGCGTTATCACTGTTGTCGATTACAAACCAAAACAACTTTAGCTTCTCTCATCTATAGGACGATCACGAAATGTAGCTACAAAGAAAGGAAAAAGGATAGAACAGAACAGAGCTTGGATCGATGGGGGTGGATCGATGATCGCTCGCTGTGAAAAGAAAGAGAAACCCAAGAGAAATCGATCGATCACGCGCTGGCCCGGGAGACGAGGAGCTCGCTGATGTCCCAGAGCTTCTTCCCGAGCTGTGGATCCAGCGCCTTCTTGGACGGCTTCGCCTCCTGGCAATCCGCGAGGTAGCGGCCGCTCACATCCGCCATGTCGGGGTGGATGGCCGCGTAGATCGTCGTCGCCGCGCCCTGCTCCACGCTCTTCCATTTGCCCGCGTATATGATCTTGACGAAGAGCTTCATCGCCGCCGAGTGGCGCCACAGCGGCGTCCCGATCAGCCCCGGGTGGACCGCGTTGGCCGTGATGTTGATCTTCTCCCGCTGGAACATCGCTGTCAGGGAGTTCGCGTGGAGGATGTTGGCCAGCTTCGATTGCCCATACGCCTTCTTGGAATCGTAGCTCCCGCGATCGTTGATAGCGTCGAGATCGCGGATCCCTTCCTTGTAGCCCACCGTCGCGTGCGCCACCGACGAGAGATTGACGATCCGGCCCTGGATCCCGGATTTCGCCGCCGTCTCCTTCATCGTGTCGAGCAGGAGATTCGTGAGCAAGAAATGGCCCAGGTGATTCGTCGCGAACTGCGATTCCACGCCGTCGGCCGTGAGGCTGAAGGGGCAGAACATCAAACCCGCGTTGTTGATGAGGAGATTGAGCGGCAGGCCGGATTTCTTGAAATCCTCGACGAAGCCCCGGACGCTGGCCAGCGACGCCAAATCCAGCTCCATACACTGCACCGACGCCCCCGGCAGCTCCTTCTCCATCGCCGCGCGGGCTCTCTCCGCGGCTTCCTTGTTCCTGGCCGCGATCACAACCCTGGCTCCCTGCTTCGCAAGAATGCGCACCACTTCCGCGCCAATGCCACTCGCCCCTCCCGTGACGATTGCCGTGAGATTCTTGGCGTCAATCCCCTGCGCCACTTCCTCAGCGGTGGAGTGCGCGCCATAGCCTGATCGCTTCCCCATTCTTTCTTTCTCCCTCGTATAAAAGACACTTTCCTATAAACCCTAAACGCGCGCGATCCAATGGCCTAGATCTAGATATATCCAACGGCCGGAACCGACTAATCCGATCCAACGGCCGATAATATCGATCGCACGGCCCCAGCACGTCTTGCGTGGAAGACCTTTAACCGCGTTGGCATTTAAAATGCTCCAGGCGCTCGCCAAGAGCCCTAGATTCGATTCTTCCTCGTCGCGGCTGCGCGATCTCGTCAATCTCATCGACGCGGGATCCATCCGCCCCGACGCGGCGGATTTCCGTCGCCTCATCGCGGATTGTACAGATCTTCGCCTCCTCCACGAAGCAAGATGCATCCACAGCTTGGTCCACCGCCACGGCCTCGCCGGCGATCGATTGATCGGCAACTACCTCGTCAAGATGTTCGTGCGCTGCGGCGACATCGACAGGGCGCGCGAGGTCTTCGATCGGGTAAGCGCCAGGGACGTGATCCTCTGGACGGAGATGATCGCCGCATATGGCGAGAGGGGATATTTCCAGGAGTCGCTGGAGCTCTGGAAGATCATGAGGCTCGAGGGAGCCATGCCGGATCTCATCGCATTCGTCACAGCGCTCAAATCTTGCTGCTGCCCGGCGAGCCTCGGGGATGGGGCGCTCATCCACTGGATGATTCTCGAGAGCGGCCTGGGATCCAACGTGATCGTGGAGACGGCATTGGTGAATATGTACGCTAGATGCGGCAGGATCGAGCAGGCAACCGCGATGTTCTTCGGGATTTCTCACAGGGACATTGTCGCGTGGAACGCGATCATAGCGGTAAATGCCGAGAGAGGGCATTTTGGCCAGGCCATGCATCTCTTCCATTCGCTGCTGCTCGAGGGCGAGAGATCGCCCAACAAGAGCACCTATGTGGCGGTTCTCTCGGCTTGCAGAGATCTCCACGACCTCAAGCTCCTCCACTCGTGCTCAATCCACAGTGGCCTGGAGCTCCACGTAGAGGTCGCCACGGCACTCGTGCACGCGTATGCTCAGCTCGGGCACCTCTCCATCTCTCGCTCGATCTTCGACCGGTTGCTCTGCCAAGATCGAGACATCGTCCTCTGGAACGCGATGATCGAAGCCTATGCCCAAGAGGGCGATCGCGAATCCATCGCCCTGTTCCGGCAAATGCAGCTCCTCGGCTGCCACCCAGACCGAGCGACGTTCCTGAGCTTGCTCTCGGCGTGCTCGGCTATGGTGGACCTGGAAGAAGGAAAGAGACTACACTCGCGGATCGGGAGCTGCCTCGAGGACTTCCAGATCCAAAATTCGCTGCTTGCGATGTACGCCAGGTGTGGGAGGCTCGAGCTCGCGCAGCTCCTCTTCGATGGAATGCCCGAGAGGTCGGTCTTCTCCTGGAACTCCATGGTCGCCGCGTATGCTCAGCACGGGCATCTCGACCAAGTCTTCCAGAGCCTGAAGAGGATGCAAAACGAAGGCGTCAAGCCCGACAGCGTGACGTTCGTGAGCGTCCTCAGTGCTTGCAGTGGAGCCGGACTGCTGGTAGAGGGCCGGAGCCACTTCGAGTTTGTGAAGCGTCACATTCGCGAGTGGCCGAGCACCGAGCACTACGGCTGCATGATCGATCTCCTTGGTCGCCTGGGAAGATTGGAGGAGGCCGAAAGACTAGTTTTGGAGGTCCCGGACAAAGCAGCGGACGCGGTGCTGTGGAGAACACTGCTCGCTGCTTCCCGGACTTACGGAGATTTGGAGCGAGGGAGACGAGCGGCGGAGAGAGTGGTGGATTTAGATCCGGACGACTCTGCTGCTTACGTCGTGCTCTACAACACAGTTGCCACTTAGAACAAAGCACGGAGAAGAAAAGACCGATGCAAAGAGACCTCAGGAACTTGGATGATAAGTTACGTGGATAGTTTCCTGGCTGCCAGAGCAACGAGGCCTTTGAAACACTACTAAGAAAAACAAACTACGCGCTTCATGGCTGGATTTTCCTGAGAAGATCGAAAGGTTCTGAGGAGAAAACGAAGGAAAACAAGCGCTACCTCTTTTGTGAGCTTAGAAAGATGGCTTCCGGATCGGTCTCGAGGGAGGAAGTAAACCACGGCGAGCTTGACGCTTGAGGTAGTGACGCCGCGCAGCAATCATCTCCTTGTGCGTTGGTCCCTGTAAAAAAAACGAAGGAAGTTCATGCTAGAAACTTTGCATCATTCTTTTTTACTTTTGGAAGGTCATAGAAATCGTCCGTCGTTGGAGAAGTTCCATCTTCCTGGAAAGAAAAAAAAAAAACAATCAGAGAGCTTGAATCACTAAGATCTCAAAAATGTACCTTGTTCTCCCCCTCTGGAGCTCCCTCTTCCTGGGAAAGAAAACGAGCGATCAATCTACAAGCCGAGGAAGCATCGCATACCTTTGGCGGCGGGAGATGGGGTCCAATCGCGGGGAAGAAAGAGTACCCTCGAGCACAAATCACGAATCCACCATCGCTAGCGCGCGGCACTGCGTGCGAAGCGCTGCCACGGGACGCATTGGCGTGCAGCGCTTGCAGCGCCTTGCCCGAGCTCCTTACCGCTCGAAACATTGCCGCAAACCCTAAACCCCGTTACAGTTTAGGGCATTTCATATTCTTAGAATATTTCTTCTGAAAATATCTCATTTTCTTAAATATAAATACATAGTTAAGTGATAAACCAGGTGATCTCCATCTAACCTCCCACCAATACCAAATTCCACCTGTGCAAATTTGCTACCCACATCCCATGTTTTCTAAGCATTGCAGGCATAACCTCTAATGGCATTGTTGTCAAAGGCTGCCTTTGTCTGGATGCTTTCTCCAAATAGACAAAACCAAGGGCTTATACATCAATAGTGTCTGATTTGAAGTTTCCAAGCACCATCTTTCCTAAAACCCAGAAAGCCATCCACAAAAGAGAAAAAGAAAAAGAAGAAACTTACTAATTACAAGTGAAGAGCTATTGTATTGATATGGCCTATTGTATATTTCTTGATGCAAGTCTATGGGAAGATATGGTCAAAATTATAGTGTGAATGGTAAGATATGGATGAAAATGTGAACTAAGTAAATATAGTGGAAATAACAAAAAAAAGGAAATGGAAAAAGTTAAATCTAGACAATATAAAAGCTAGATTTAAACCAAAATCCTAAATCAAAGCTTGTTTAGGTTGCCAAAGTTGTCATTTTGCACTCTAAATCCCACATGTTGACACACTTGAGTGATTTGATAAAGTAAACCTTATCCTTCAGAAGTATGTAATTGTTAGCATTTTTTGGAGAAGATATAATGATTTATGTATTTGATTTTTCATCCTTGATAACTCTTTTTTTTTTACTTAATTTGACTTTGTGTTTGCACTACATTCAGACTAATCTAAAATAGAGTTTATGAAAAAATACAATAATGAATACTAAGCTAATTGATTAATCCCTATAGTTTTGATTGATCTAGTTATAATTATGCTTAAGAAGGATCCGCTAGTGCCATGCTAAATAGTTGTGGATTAGCCTATGTGCCACTCATACCAAACTTAGGGGAAGTTTAATTTTACTCATAGTAACATCATAATAACCATTGATAGGTTTATATTAATCCTGCCATAACCTTTAAGTTGTTCATATGCTTCATTTACAAGCCCACGTGGAAGCTCATGCCAATGATTCATCTCAAATTCATTTTATAAACTCAAGCGAAAGCTTATGCAATATGGTACAAAAATGGTATACATTACTACTAGTGGTGACCTAAACCAAATGTAAAAGAAAGAGTGCCACAGTCTAGCAAAGGCCAAATTTATGTGTTAGTTAAACCCACACTAGTATGTTGAAATTATACTAAACTCCATTGAACACTAGGCTAAATACAAGGAGATAATGTTTATAAAGATTTGAGTGTATATTGAACCCTCATTTTGTAGTGCAATAAGCTTAGAGTTCAACTCCAAATTTATATATTCCACAATTAAAGAGGTAAATTTAGAACTCTTTCAGATAAGTATATAATTGCTAGTTCTTAATAACCATTTTCATTTGTAGAATGCTTAAAATGTCTCTCCAAAACACCAAAAAAATTTCCAAGCTCCACACTTAAGTGTATCCAAGCCTCAATGTACTAGTTGTCAACATGAAAGCATCTAAATCAAAAGTAAAGGCTTATAAGAATGTAACATAGCAAATTTGAAATATAGCAAAAGCTATATGTTTGGGTGCTTGGACACTAAGAGCTTGATTGAAATATATAAACATTATTTGGAACATATATTATAAGAAAAATGATTGTTATAATGAAGCTCAAAACAATACAAGTGGGAATTCCAAAAACATAAGTGGGAAATCCATAAATAAAAGTGAAGAATGGAAAATTTAAAAATACCAACAGACACAAGTCAAAAATCCTAAAATGTAGTAAAAACTCTTAACACCAGTTGAAAGTCAAGCAACTCCAATAGAAATTCTTGAAAAACTAGCCAAAAATGAAGGAACTCTAGTGGCATAGCTCCACTATGTCAAATGTAAATAAACTAGAATAGATAGACATAACTATAGGATGGCTAGATAGCATATTTAGGGCTTTTTAAAAAGTTTTGCCTTGCCTTTGCTTTTGCCTTTGAGAATATGGATGAGGAGAAACTTTGGTGTTAGAATTGCAAAATGCTTGCACTATAGCTTTATCAAACTTTTGTAATACACTTTACAATTGTTTACAATTATGATTAATCAATCTATGTTGCCCATCCTAGACCTTTCCATAGTAGGCAATTGCCTTTATCTAATGCCCCAAGACATAAAGAATACTACTCAAGACCTATGTGGAGATTATGACCTACCCTGTCAGCTACCTCCTTACCATCACAAATCACTTGAACTCTTCATCCATGCTTGGGTGTTTTAAAAACCTACATAAAATATCTTGCTTCACATTGAGTGAGAGTTGTTATGTGGCCTTGAGAAAGCTCTTCACATGTTGTTTGGCTATTCTTCTATCTCCTATCTCAGCCATTACTTTGTGAGTTGCAGCTCTCCACCATTATCCTCATGTAACTGGTACAAGTACTGTAATAATGATGTCATCTTGATGTTGTGATACACTCCTATTGGATAATTAAATGTATGGAAAAAAGGGAGAGCTCATAAAGCTTTGTTCTAGAACCATACATGCTTAAGTTGTAAATGAGCTTGTAACATGTGGAAATGGAAAAGATGACTATCATTAGTTGGAAGTGAGGAGCACACTTTCAAATAGAATCTTTGTTGTATGGTTAATCCACCATGCCTCCTTGCAAGTTCACGCTTTCATGAACGGAAGTTGAGGGTTACAGCTTTCCTAAAAGCCTCGCTTTTACCAGATATCAATCAACATGTGGTATGATTCCTTTAGCCAACTAACAAAGTCAGACCTAAAACCCTTTGATACTAAATGTAAACTCCTGAATTTAAACTTTCTTAGGAGGTCACCCAACTTAGTAATATTCAAACCCAAGGATGCTTAACCTTAAATATCCCAAAACCCTTAACCAATTAGAAAAGGGGTATACTTATGTTCATGGGCCCTTTTCTTTTATATTTGAACCTCTATGAATCGTCTCTCGAGTTGTTTCCTTTGGTTGCTTACATTAATATTGATTGTTTCCATTTTATTCCAACTAAAAATAAAAGTTTAAGTTTATCTAATAGACCTACATTTTATATTGAGGGAAGTGGGGGGGAATTTTATATATATACATATATAAAATTCATATAAAATTTGTGTTGAGTGAGATATATTAACAAATTACTGTTTCTAATAAAGTTAGGACAAAATGGAATGTGAGAAGAATACATATGGCACTTCCTAAGCTAAATAAATTTTAAAAAATATAAATACCTATACTACAAGCTATATATTTCTATTTTTTACATATATTTTTTATGTTTAAAAAAATGAATTACAGTTTTAGTTTTTCTATTTGTCATACCAAGAAAAATATTTTATATTTATACTTTTTATTTTATATTCACAGTTATTGTGTTTGTATTAAAACATTATATGAAAATCCAGCAGGGGTTATTTCAATTGAGGTTAGACAAAACATAATAATACCAACTATTAAAGAGCTTATTAAAGAAGTAGGCAAAAGAAAAGAAATTTTTATGGGATTTTCTTACTCTAAAATTTTACATGAACAAGATACTAGCTTACTTATTACAATAAGTGCACTTGACATGCAAATGTCAAGAAAAAACTTTTATATATATTGTACTATTATTCCTTTTCTTTTTACTTTAAATAATGGGAAAGCCATAGAGAAAGAGTTTACTTTAACATTGCAAAATTATGTTGAGAAAGACTTAGTAACATATGGGTCTGTAGAGTATATAAATGGAAGATATTCTATATCATATGTATTAGATAAAGATAGTAATGTTTACTTACAAGAGTTTCCAAATACTAATAGTTTTATATTATTTAAAGAAGAAACAGATTGTATTCTTCATAAAACCTGTATTAAAAGTGGACCAAATTATTCATCATTTTCTCGCCTTAGGGAAGGAGATTTTCTTCAATCACCAAATTTAGTATTTATTTTATATATGAAATTTGATTGTAATCTTGTGTTATATTATGGTAAAATTTCTATTTGGGATACTGAAACATCAGGAAAAGGTATTGGATGTTTTCTACGTTTTCAGAAAGATGGAAATCTTGTTATTTATAATCAGTATCATAACGTTGTATGGTCTTATGATATTTATTGGAAAAATATTTGGGTTACATTTTCATTATGTGTAGAAAATACAGGTCATGTTACTGTATATAATACAAATAATCAAACATCTATTTGGAGAAGGCCTATAGAAAGAAAAAAAAGAGTTATACTTATGCACAAATAAGAAAATAATTTCTATTTATTTTAATTTTTAAATAAAGGTATACGAATTACTGAATAAGTAGATATTTTAGGACATATGATTGTATTTATTTATTTTAAGAAATATCTCAGGGAAATATATTAAGATTATCTAAATTAGACAAATGAACTTAAGTCAGAAAAAAAAACCATAAAATTGAACAAAGGAGAGAAGAAGAAATATTATTATTGCAATAGAACATATTTATGCAGATAACTCAGTTGAGTATAAATGGACCATAAACAATTGTATCACAAAGTGCCACGTAGCATTTTATTTGGCACTAAATGTCATATTAGCATACCAAACAATTAGCTAGTAGTATATCTATGAGAAATAGTGGGCGGAGTTTTTTTAAAACGCTATTCATTATTTTTTAATTTTATCTCATGCATAAAACGAGTAGTCCAAACAATGGAAGAAAGAACTCGAGTTCTTTATTTTTTCTAAGATCTTCAAAACTTGTTTTTTCAGTCCTCTGTGTTGCTTCAAGCCTCGGCCTCCTCGTCCATCTCTCCCTCGTCATCGGCGCTCGCGTCCTGGTACTGCTGGTACTCGGACACCAGATCGTTCATGTTGCTCTCCGCCTCGGTAAACTCCATCTCGTCCATCCCCTCACCCGTGTACCAGTGCAAGAACGCCTTCCTCCGGAACATCGCCGTGAATTGCTCGCTCACTCGCTTGAACATCTCCTGGATCGCGGTCGAGTTCCCGATGAAAGTCGCCGACATCTTCAGTCCCTTGGGAGGGATGTCGCACACGCTCGACTTGACGTTGTTTGGGATCCACTCGACGAAGTAGGACGAGTTCTTGTTCTGGACGTTGAGCATCTGTTCGTCCACCTCTTTGGTGCTCATGCGCCCCCGGAACATCGCCGACGCCGTGAGGTAGCGCCCGTGGCGAGGGTCGGCTGCGCACATCATGTTCTTGGCGTCCCACATCTGCTGGGTGATCTCCGGGACGCTCAGAGCTCGGTACTGCTGCGACCCTCTGGAGGTGAGCGGAGCAAAGCCGATCATAAAGAAGTGGAGCCGCGGAAACGGGATCAAGTTGACGGCTAGCTTCCGGAGGTCCGAGTTGAGTTGGCCCGGGAATCGCAAGCAGCACGTCACGCCGCTCATGGTAGCCGAGATGAGATGGTTGAGATCACCAACTGAAAGAAGAAAAAAGTGATATCAGATCCTAGATGAAAAAGATAAAAGAGAGATGTTGCTTACATGTTGGAGTTGTGAGCTTGAGAGTTCTAAAGCATATGTCGTATAAAGCTTCGTTGTCTAGAACCATGCACTCATCCGAGTTCTCAACGAGCTGGTGGACGGAGAGAGTGGCGTTGTAAGGCTCCACGACCGTGTCCGAGACTTTTGGCGACGGAAAGATGGAGAATGTGAGCATCATTCTGTCCGGGTACTCTTCTCTTATCTTGGAGATGAGGAGCGTTCCCATGCCAGATCCCGTGCCTCCTCCCATGGAGTGACACACTTGAAATCCTGACCAACAAATAAAACCATCCTCGTGTTAGATCCTTGAAAGAGTTGCAACTTAGATCGAGAAACTAGAACATAAAAACACCAGGTGGAAAAACAAAGAGAAGCAAGAACAAGAACAAAGTAGAAAAACCATTCTAAGGAAAAATGGTTTTTTGGAAGAACAGATTAACCAAGTGGAAAGAACAAAAAAAAATCGAGGAAGAGCAAAAGAGACATACCTTGGAGACAATCGCAACTCTCGGCTTCTTTCCTCACAACATCGAGCACGGAATCGATGAGCTCGGCCCCTTCGGTGTAGTGTCCCTTGGCCCAGTTATTTCCAGCCCCGGTCTGGCCAAACACGAAATTATCGGGGCGAAAGATCTGTCCATACGGCCCCGATCGCACGCTATCCATGGTCCCCGGCTCCAAATCCATGAGAACCCCACGAGGAACATAGCGCCCTCCACTGGCCTCGTTGAAGTAGACATTGATTCTCTCGAGCTGGAGGTCCGAGTCACCATGGTAGGTGCCCGTGGGATCGATGCCGTGCTCGTCGCAAACAACCTCCCAGAACTTGGCGCCGATCTGGTTGCCACATTGGCCGCCCTGGATGTGTAGGATCTCTCTCATCCTTCCTCTTTTCTCTCGAGCTTCTTCTTTTTCTTCCTGGTCCGCGGCTCTGGGAGCGCCGGAGAGAAACCGAAGGAGATACCGAAAAGCTCGGGATACGAACCGTCAAAGATCGCCAAGGATCGTTTCATAGCGCCCAGGCGCCCCCGCTCCAGATCCCAAAAGCCCGCCAAGAACCCTAAAACGCAGAGCCCTAAAATTATCTTCCCGCCTAAATGCAAACTTCATTTTAAAATTTTTAATCTAGAAAATTGCCGCGTCAACAGTCATGCCCAGTCCACGCGGACAAGAGTCAGCGCCAGCGACTTTGACCGGCGACCACATCCATACAAAATGTCAAACCTATAAGCGTAGCATCCAGGTCTCTTTTCTTTGCTCCGCGATTTTCAAAGTGGGATCCATCACTGCCCAGTGGCGACCTCGCAATCTCCAGTTGGTCTCTCTCTCTCTCTCTCGATCCAAAAAGATCCAAAGAGTGTTTGGGGAATTTGATGAGGGAGAGGCGAGGAGAATGCATCCATTTGCGGAGAGTTTAGTGAGGATGGAAGTAAGCAAGGCAAGAGGCCAAGCCCAGCTGCTGGATGACAAGCTCAAGCTCGTCCCGGCATCAAGCCTGGACGATGGAGCCGCCAGGACTCTGGTTGACGACGCTGCCAGTATCATCGCCACTTTCACCAACATCATCGCGTGCCTCAGCAGGAACCCCCATGCTTCTCCCGTCGATCCAGGCGGCCATCGCTCCAAGCCTGCCATCGCCACCACTAGCGAGACCTCTCACAGCGACGAAGATCACACCCCGACCAAAAAGAGGTATGGTCTCTCTCGAAACTTTCCAATCAATGTGATGATCATCTGTGATCTCTGATAGAAAACTCAAGAACCAACATCAGCAACAGCCACACTCGATCGAGCACGAGCTCGTCCCGGACGATGGCTATACGTGGAGGAAATACGGTCAGAAAGACATCCTCGGATCTCGACACCCAAAGTAAGAACTTCACTGTTCACAAGTTCCTGGAAGTTCTAAGAAAGAAACCCATTGTCCCCGTGATCCAGGAGCTACTATCGCTGCACACACAAGCGCGAGAGCGGGTGCCAGGCGATCAAATACGTCCAGAGATCCGACTCCAATCCCTCCTCGTTCCAGATCACTTACCGGGGGGAGCACACTTGCAACATGCTTCGATCGTCCCCGCTGGGATCGCCATCGCCACCATCGCCAGCGCTGGCCATGCCGATGGTAAACTCAGTGTGCTTGAGGATCAATAGCGATGGTGGCTTGCAGATCGGGGCCTCAGGTCCGACCGTGATCCCTTCTCTCCCTCTCGATGTCTCTCCAAATCACACACCACCACCACCGAGGAACGCAGGCGCTTCAGCTCCAAGCCATGGAATTGGGCAGAGGGATCTCGAGGCTGCTCGGGGCCAGCTGATCACGCAAGAGCTGGCGTCGAGCGTGGTGAAAGTGGAGGGCGAGATCGACGTTATGACCCTGGAGTCGATGCTAGAGTTTGGATCGTCCGTGTTGGATAGTCTCGACTTGAATGGTTATCAGCTCTTCGCGAGCGATCACTCGTCACCAGAGTGGTCGGATTGCATAGCATATTAAAACGAAAAAAAGAACACAAAAATTTCTTTTCTTCTTTTGTAAAACAGCGTTGACTTTATGCCAACGGCCCAGATCGAGAGCATCCAACGGCTTAAAGCCGATCTCCAAGAGCCCTAAAGCTGGCAGCCGGTGGTCAATGCGGCCACCTCCTTGAGTATGCTGCTGTCGTTGACAATTAAGTGCACCGAAGTTTGACCCAGCCCCAACGCGATTCCCTCGAAGATCTCCCGTAGCTGCGACTCGAATTCGCCCGCGTCGATGAATCCATCGTGATTCGTGTCAAACAGATCAAACACGGAGCTACACTTGAGCGCCAACTCGGCTTGGGTCATTGGCACTGGGACCCCAAAGTCGAACTCCATGTCAAGATTTAAGCTCTCCACAAAGGGCTGGAACTCTGCGAGTGTGAGAAGGCCCCTGTGATTTACATCCATTTGATCGAAGTGTTTGAGCATGGTCTCGTGGAACAAACCAGTGTTCTTCACGAAGCTCATGACAATCGACCCGTCCAGCACGAAAACGCCCATCTTTGTAATAAGAACCCTAACGAGTTTGCGTTGATTTATAGAATGTGAAAAGGATGGCTCTTGTACCTTTTCGAGAGAAAAATTCGAGCAAGTTTACGTTCTTGTTGATACCAAGAATGGTGATGCTGATCGACGACTGGGCCGATGGTTAGACGCCAGAAATCTAGCAAAATGGTAACCAGCATTGACGCTGCTAATGCATTCCCGGTGGTTCTCAAGAAAGACGATTCATCGCTCGGGTCTTCGTCAATCCTTGATAAAGGGGACGCTGTTAGATGTTTTGCTGGAAAATTATCGTACCTCATGAACATTGGATAGCTGACGATGAAGTAGAGGGCGTAGAACAAGGAGCCAACTTTGTAGAATGCCGAAAATATGCCCGAATGAAGCTCGAAAACTCTGAGATTGTCAATGCCTCGATGAGAGCTGTCAAATAAGCCAGTATCGCTGTCGAAACGAATTGGACGAGCCCGGAGAAAGCTACGCTTGAGGTCTTGGCCTGAGCTGCCTTTAGCCTTCTCAAAGTTGCTCGCAAAGACGTGGTAGAGTAAAAAGTAAGGCTGCGTGAGAAGATACGCCACCAAGGGGACCTGTGGCAAAGCTCCTATATGTATAATAATAGAGTGAAAACTCTTCACTTACGTTGTTAAGTCTCCATGATGGAAATGTATAGCTTGCTAGGATTGTATATAAGTAATGAGTCAAGAAGTAGTTTCCCATGAAGCCAAAGATTCCAATCTACAGGTTTGCCTGCAATCAATTTGGTTTAGAGAAATATTCTTCAAACAAGTAAATAAAAACCTTCATGCAGTATCTCCACGCTGCCTCTCCAAACTTCTGAGAAAGAAGGAATCAAGTACTCAGCAGGCGAGACATAGAAAAATATAGATCAAGTTAATAACAGCCTACTTTTGAATGGCAGAACACTGCATGGTGAGGACACCATCAATCCAACCGCAAAGTACTCGAGCTCTTGGAATTCCTGCTCGAAAGTAATTACAAAGATTAATCAAATGAAAGAACGTTAGTAAAGTGACTGACCTCGTAAAACTCCATTTCTCTTGCTTGGACTTGCGGCAAGCCAAAGAACAGGCCTCATGAACTATTCCTTCACTGCCGTGAAAATCGTCAAAACATTTTAAAGAATAAAAGTTGTAACGGACTTCTCGAAGCGATGCGATTGGAAACACAATCATGCTAGAGTTTAAAGATTTACCTTGCGGTTGGCAGCTTATCCAATAAATTTCGAGAATTCTAGATCCTTATCAGATGCCAAAGAGACTCCGCAAGAACAAGGTGGAACGTTTTCTTGCGAGGTTCTCTTCACTCACGTCTTCAGGTTTTCTAGAGTCGTTGCCCTGAAACGATGAACGTAGAAATATTAATCAAAGAAAAGAGAAGATTCTACAAACAGCTCAAGAACGACAAATATGTAAAACAAAAAGCAAACAGACAAAATAATCAAAGCATTTACCGACGTGAATCTTCCATGACAAAGAAGCAGTCTCTCGTGAAGAAGTAAAGGAAGACGCAAGGAAGAATCCCAAGCCTATCATCTGGAAATTCGGCAAGCTAGAGACATACCTAAGAATCCTGGTCAGAGCAAAGATATAAACGTGCTCCAAAGCCAAACCGCTGCATTTTCTAGACTCAAGTCTCCACATTGTTAGTTTTTGAAACACATACCTTGTCCGCATCTGGATATCTCGTCAAAGCACGCCATGCCTTTCTTGGTGTCAATACGAGCATCATTTACAGGCCGAGCTAATCTGATGTGAGTAGACAGCAGATTGGCACGCTTTAAGTTGCCTATTCCCGAGGCAATTTCGGAAGAGCCTCGATTGCTTGCTTAGACCAAGTTGTGAACAGATTCGATATCTCCTTTTCGTCGTTTTAAAAGGCTGGAGACAAACAAAGAGAGAGACAAAGAGTAGAAACAGAGGAAACAATATAACTTTGATACTCACTCTATTTTCGCGTCACTCTTGCAAGGCTTTGGACCTCCTCGTCTTTGCAGCTCGCGCAATGCAGTAACGGTCTCCACATTTTTTTCAAAGTAGTTCTCAGAGTTTTGCAAGTCGTCTCGGGTGCTGCGAAAAATTGACAAGTATAAGTAAACCATACGCGGTGAAGAAATATCGAGAACACGACGGGGTCTTGCATACCTTCTCCTCAAGTTGTGTCTCCTCGTCTTTGCCGTTTCAAGCTCGACACTCACGTTCCAAGCTCCCCACATATCTTCTCTCGCTAGCAGCTCACTGGGCTTCATAGCCTGCAGCAAGAATAAGAAAGAGATGAAATCAAAAGTGATCACCTTCTCCTTGTCATACCTTGAAAAACTTTGTAGGTTTCTCGGGGTTCTTTGCACTGGCAGGCCTTGGAAAGTACCAGCACTGGAGCTTCTTCAAATCGGGGTCATTGAAATGCTTCTCCAGCGTGCAAATGTTGGCCACTCGACGATGAGAGGAATCGCGTCCAAATATCTTGAAAACCTCAGAGGCCGTGCTCTTGTTCCATTTGGCGGGTCTTTTCCCGAGCGGATCGGCAGTGGACTCGATATTGACAAGATCATGAATCGCCCTGGTCTGTACAAGAAAAAAAAACGAGGAGCTTAGATCACTACTTGTACTTGCACTAGGAAAGAAAAAAAATGAAAGCTAGAAGTAAGTACATGAGGAGGTGGATCAGGCATAACACGATCCGCTAGACCATAATTCACAGCCGAGCCTGCTCGCCCGGCCTTTTGGGAGAGAAAGATTGGATTCATCGCGATTGATGCGATTGACAGACCCCCAAGAAAAGGACCCTGAGATGAATGATCCCGCGGCAACTAACTGACTCCACTCGCGGATCTAGCAGCTGATTCTTAGGCGCGGCGCCAGCTCCAGCTGCTCACATACCTCGGATTGGATCTCATCGTCTCCTCGCCCGCTAAGCTTGCCCTAACCCTGGAAAGTCGCGCCAAAAAGGTTTTAACCCCTACATTTCTCGCGGTTACGGGATATTCTCCTGGGTACGAACTGGGCCGTTGGATGAAACTGGGTAATGGACGGTAATGGATTAATCTTACTCCACAGTATTGAGTAATTCGCCAATGTTCTCGATCGCGATGCGGATTTTATCGCCAGGAAGTAGATGTTTGGGCGGATCAAACCCCGATCCAACACCTAGATTGTGATTTCTCTTAGCAGCTTCTAAAGAAAATGGAGGAGAAATTTTCTACCTGAGGGAGTTCCAGTTGCGATGATATCTCCCGTTTGCAAAGTTATTCCCGCTGATATCGTCTCGATCAGCTCTGGGATTGGAAAGATCATGTCTGACGTTCGACCATCCTACTCAGGGTAATTCATAGAGTTTTAGACTAGAAAAAAGGGAGTTTGATAGAAAGGATATGGAGTAGAATCACCTGTCGGAGTTCGTCATTGATCCAGCATTGGATCCGAAGATCCTCTCCGTTTATCTCCGTTGCTGGAACAATCCATGGACCCATGGGACAAAATGTATCGCAACTCTTGCCTATAAACCACTGCAAACAAAGAAAAACTCTTGATACGAGGAAAGATAGAAACTATAGATTCATACCTGTTGGTGGCGTTTTTGCAAATCTCTTGCAGTGACATCGTTTAAGATCGTATATCTGCGCAATGATATCAGATAATATCAAGGATTAAAATCTTAAAGCAGGGAGCAAGCACCACACTGCTTACCCGAATACGTGTTCTAGAGCGTTCTCTCTTTTGATGGCTCTTCCCGGTTTTCCGATTATCACAGCCAATTCTGACCACCACAAAAAACAATAATTTTTTTTTTTTTCTAAGATCACAAAGAAAAACTCGTGAAACTTTCGATTTGTAAGACCTGCTTCATAGTCGACTTGCGAAGATAAACCGTGAGGATATTTGATTGCAGCCCCGGGACCAATCACAGATTGTGGTGCTTTGGTAAAAACGATAGGATTCTGTGGAAAGTTTTAGCGATGAGAGAAAGAAAAATATTCTTACCTTGGGAACATCTTGAGCAGACAAAGCTGGAGCAGTCTTCCATTTATCCATTTCTTTGACATGGTCCCTGTAATTCTTTCCAATGCACATAATCGCCCCTGATGGCCTTGGAATTGGAGCTTGTAGCTCGATATCCGTAAGCTCAAGTCCCGGACTTTCAAGCTTCAAGCTTGAGATGTAACAAAGAAAAGAAGCTCATGAGTTTCTCGTGTTTCTAGCAAGATTGGTCTCGAGGTTTACCTCTTTCGTATCGCATCCCAGTCTCTGATCACGGTAACCATGTCGTGCTTCGAGGCATTGGCCGATAGAACATCGTCAAGGGGCCTGGAACCCCAAAACAAAATCATGGAAAACTCAAAGATCTGTTAGCTATGAGGGAGATTAAACTCACCACATTCTTCCTCCACGGACCACTCCAACTCGAGCATCCCCTTGGGAGAGGAAAGTAATAAGCTTCAGCATGCTTCTTTCTATAAGCCCTACTTTGATCTCAAAACTTTTACTATCACTAATCTGATTGATGTTATCTATTCAATTTCATATCAACTCATCCAACCTGAAATCAAATTTTGATATCTTGAGAGTACCGCAATAGCATCCAGCAAATTTACCACCTAAGAAGGTTAAGAAACTTGCATAAGAAAATGCCATTGATGGCGATTTCTAAGTTTGGCACACTGTGTACATCATTCTCCTCATCTTCATGGGCATTGAGAATTATCATTTGGATCCACAAAAAAGTGCTTGTTTCAGACATCTGAAAGATCCATACGGGCCAATGTACCAAGCTTTGGTCTGTTTATGGAAGCGTGAAATCTATTGGAGCTCGTCCAGCTAAAGAGCACCACTCGAAACGGATGAACATCTAGTTGCCGAGTCTGCGAAGATTGGATTCATCGCGATTGACAGGCCCCCAAAAAAAGGTCGCCCTTGACTGATGATTCTTAAGCGCATCTAACCATCCCAGATATTCGATGTACTCCAAGCGCGATACATTTTATCGCAGGTGTTTGGTTTGGATCAAAGATTTTCCATTTTGGTTTCTTTGTTCTTCCACCTGGGTTCTATTTTTCACAATCTAGTTGTCAGGATTTCAAGTGTGTCATTCCATAGGAGGCACAGGATCGGGCATGGGAACGCTCCTCATCTCCAGATAAGACAAGAGTGCCTGGCTTGTTGAGTTGGCCGGGAATTACAAGCAGCTAGTCACGCCCCTCATGGTAGCCGAGATGAGATTGTTGAGCTTCGGAAGCTAGCCGTCAACTTCATCCCATTTTCACGCATCATGGATTCAGTAGGTCACAGCAGTACCGAGCTCTGAGCGTCCCGGAGATCACCCAGCAGATGTGGGACGCCAGGCGCTACCTCACGGCCTCAGCGATGTTCCGGGGACGCATGGGCACCAAAGTAGTGGACGAACAGATGCTCAACGTCCACAACAAGTACTCGTGGATCCCAAACAACGGCAAGTCGAGCGTGTGCAACATCCCTCCCAAGGGAAGATGTCGACGACTTTCATTCGGAAATGCAGATGTTCAACAGATGTTCAAGTGAGTGAGCGAGCAATTCACAGTGATGTTCCGGAGGAAGTCGTTCTTCCACTGGTACACAGGACAAGATGGAGTTTACCGAGGCCGAGAGCAACGTGGACAATCTGGTGTTCAAGTACCAGCAGTACCAGGACCCCAAGGCCAATGACGAGGGTAGACAACTATTAAATGACATGTTAATTGTTAAATGTATCTACTTTTAAAATTTCATGCACATGGAAAATTCATCCTGAAACAAAGGGAAACTCGAGGAAAACTTAAGGGAAAATCAAGAAATTTGAGGCTTACGTTTAATGGCTTTTCTGAGCTTTTCTGCATTT